CTGGCAGCACATGGTGCTACTGAAGCAGTAAATGTTCTCTCTTGACTTTCACGGAAATTAAAGGATTTAGTTTTCATTTGAACCAAACATTCTTAAAAATTGAGAATGGAAATGTGGAATGTGTAAAAGAGACAGTAACATGTCAAAAGAGCAGAAAGCAGTCGAAGGCCACCAATGGGTCTTCAACAAAGCGAGAAAATCCCTCGCCCGGAGGCGGGCTTCAGATGGCCCCTAGACAAAATGTGTGCTAGTTCAAACTCTAAAACATAAAAATAAACTTACCATTAAAATCATACAAGACTAACAAAAACCAGAGACTCCTGACTTGACGTCAAGATGATCATACCAAGAGACACACCCAATATGCATAGGTCAAGAGTCAAAAAGTCAGTCTGGTCAGGAGTTCCTTGTCAAAAAAACACAAAGCAGATTTTGAGGAAAGGGTCATCGTGATACACTAAACTAATAAATATATCTATATATCTAATATAGATATAAGAAGATGTGGTATGAGTGCCAATCAGACAATTCTCCATTTAATTGAAACAAAATATACAAGTTGTACCTTGAGGGCAAAGGTCAAGCTCACATGAAGTTTCTCGTGCCACTAGACTCACCATCTTATGACAATACATCTACATGCCACATATTCAGAAGGAAGGTCAATTGAAAATTATATTTTGAGGTCAAGGTAATACACCAAGGAACACACTGTATCATGATGACACACCCAAGTTGAACGTGCATAGGTCAAGAGTCAAAAAGTCATAGTCTGGTCATGAGTTCCATGTCAAAAATACACAAAGCAGTCCTGCACGAAAGTTCATCATGATACATGTAACAATGTCTTATGTCATGATGCACTACACATGCCAAATACAGAAAACCTAGGTCAGAGACAGAAACACAAAACTCAATTGAACGGTACTTGTATTGCAGGTCACTACAATTGCCTTCAAAATAGAACATAAACTCTCGCAACACTGCAAAGTTAAAACCGTCTTTCACAAAAGTTTGAGCAGGATTCTTTGCAACGATTATCTTACCACTGTTAATTGAGAATCGAGTCGTGCAGTTAACTCAATAAATTAAAACGGTAAGATTAGACATTAAAACACTAAATACTAAGGTTTACCATTAATTTCTAACCTAACAAAGTGATAGTACTATGGTAAACTGATGGAAACACATGATACAGTCATAAAATTGAATATTTGCAATAGTACGACCAGAACAATACAAGACAGAGTTGTAGACAAATGAAAGTAATGATACATACGAATTTTTAATCACAGTGCACAAATAAGGAACCGTAGTTTTCATTCAATTTATTTATCTAAAATGTACGCTTGCGTTAAACAATGGAAATTAGCACTGTATATTTATATAAACGATCAATCTTGTAATAAAAATAAATAGATAAACGTTACTGCACAAAGATTGTGTTTCTAATTGTCAATAAAATGAATGTATATTTGACGTATTGTTATGCTGAAATGATTTAAATTTAAATACTATAGTACAAATCAACACATGTTAACCGTATAAAAACAAATCCTGAATATGTATTTGATAGTTTATTAATGCATTTAACGGTACTTCATTCCTCAAAAATTGCACAGTTTAACGTTTATTTGTACCGAATAGCTTGTATGTAAATCTGATCCAGAAAAGTAAGTAAAGTCATCATCATGTGTATACAAATATCAGATTAACATTTGAATATCATATCCCAATTGCATGCCGGGTCTGTCATGCACAATGGATAAATAATGCATCAAAATAAGGCTTGACGATCAAGAAATTATGAGGAGTATACGTTATTGAGACAACAACCTAAAACTATTGTAAAATCAGATAGGAATTACTACAAGGACATCAAACGGTTATTTACTTTAGGAACCTTTTATAATCATCCGACGAAGCGTCTTTATTATTTAGTGATTAAGAAAATGAAAATAACACGTTCATATATATGTAATATTTAGTTCTTATGTCCGAGGTGCTTTTAATTTTATAGGATTAACATTATAATCAGTTATCCATATGCTATATATATTCCCAACATATAATTTAATTGATTGAGATAGTAGTATCGTGCACACCTCATTTGCGATTTCTAAGTTTTGAATGCCGCATTTGTATCTTCCTCTTTTTGTTTTATACACCATCCTACCATGAGAACACAATGGAACACGTCTTACATTTTATTTTATTCAAGGTATATTGTAGGTAAAGATTTGTAGAAGATTAACCTCATCGTATTAGTACTATTGAAAATAGAATGCGATTTAAACTTATTCTTCAACACCTTACGAATTTCCTTCAAGACATGGGAAGGAAGGGTGACTATCAATAAAACGAGATTTATTGTGAATATGATATTGTACTGAATGTGCCTGAAATAATTTACAACAGTACGTTGAGTAAACAATCAATCAATCTGACTGTGAAACACGTGTTTAAGTATAATCATTTTTTTGCGATTTAGACCCCACGAGAATCTTGACTCTGGTTATGATATTATGTTTTCGACACCATTTGCGAATTTTTCATAAATAATTTGATTATTCTTCAACTTTTAACTTTCTATTTTAAGTAACGATGTCAGTATTCACTGTATAACCTGAAACACCTGTTCGCCTTTTATTTTGGTATCATGGCACGTAATAAAAAAGAATTAATCTTCGACATAGACAACTATAAATATATAAATACACTTAATATACTTGTGATACACGTTTCATCATTCTTTCCATAAATTGATGCATGGTGTTTTTCTCTGGATTGATAAATTTCCCGCCGCCAACAACCACCCCATATAATACAAGAAGAAAATCTTTTTCATCAATTTTCAATTGGAACAAACTAGTTTTCACTTACATTCTGAAACAGAAAATGTTTTTTCAGAAATTTTGAATCAAGTAATTTGTTTTGAAAAAAATGCCCTTCACACAAAATGAATGGTCGTTGTTATCTGGATCCGTGATTGCCTTTGATCCTGCCCATATAACAAAAATTTGAAAAATCATACACCTTCAACACAATATACATGTGTTTATGATTCATGAGTGAAGATTGATTTCTTTGTCGCTTCAATAAGCTTCAAAAAGCACGGGGATACAGGAAACCGAGTTTGACTATAACATCAAATACTTTTTTTATAAATGAAAGCAAACAATGAGTAAACAAGTTGCAACAAGAAATACAACCGTGAACCTACATGACTCTTTGGTTTCAAAGATCAGATAATATTTATACAATGATGCATGCTTTTTCTCATATGTTTTATATATGATGTAAATGACATGGAATATCAATGTGAATGCTGTTCAGTGTTCGGCATACAATTTTAAAGTAATAATTTCCGAAAGATAACACAACAACCTGTAAAATAGGAGGCAACCACTTGATGTTCCATTTTCAGGTATTTGCATGTTTTGGAAATTAGAGGTAGCTTCCAAGCCGAAGTCGAAATATATATGTGAAAGTAATGTTTGTTTTAAAGAAATTTAATAAAATGAATCATGATTCTTTGTTTTTTTGTAGCTAGTTTGAAAATTGCTCAAAACCCTAAGCTGTTTTCGTATTTGTTAACCTGGAACTAAACCCGTTTTAGAAAACCATTCATAACGGTTTTGTCATTGGCTATCATTTCCATGATATGTTTGATCTCAAATTCACTTATACCACAGGCAACAAATACCAATCGGACTTTGAGAGTAGAAAAAGTTTGAAACTTTTCTTTATTGTTAAATCAATTTGTTTAAACAAATTTCACTTTTTATTTCATAACTTATCCTTTTGTATGTCAACCAAAACACAAATGAAGTTGTTGTTTCAGACGATTTTGTGACAGACATACGGACTGAAAAACAGACGGATATACAGACAGTTCTTTTTTTGCAATCGCCTGTCAGTTGAATTCGGATATTGATCTATAGAAAATATATTTGTATCTCTAAGGTGCTATTTGTTTGGTTTAAAAATACAAACATTTTCATATCGCCTAATTTGTTACTCGGAAATCGAGTTATTTGTAGACATATTTCCCATCTGCCGGGGTAATTGCTAATACCCCGACACATGGAATTCCCTAATATCAAATACATTGACAGAGAAAAATCAATTAAAATTGGGAAATAAAAGTTTTTTATGTTCTCAATGAAGCAACATCTTGCATTGCAATTCAGCTAAGTTCTAACATCACAGACATGATAATATAAGGAAACTGACTAAATTTCATGACCGGAAATTAGGTTTTCGAGGTAAAAAAAAAAGATTTTAATAGAAACATCAAAAAAAGGAAACCGGAAATTTTTTCAAGTTTAACTTTATTTAAAACACCACAAACATCATTTTGAAAGGAAACTGACAAAAATTTCATGACCAAAATAATATTCTTGGTCGAAAACTAAGATTTTTATCATAAAATCTCCGAAAACAGGAAATAGGATTTGTTTTCAATGTAATGTAAATAGAGATTTTTCATCGATATTTTTTTCCAAAATGTATTCTGAAAACGTGTGTAGATTAACAATCTCTCCTGACAAATAATATCTATAATAGTAAATAAGATAGTCATCAGCTTTCGTTTAAAAAAACAACCTCCCAGAGTAGTAAAGTAAATAAAATGTATATTATGATTCTGTAGAAACCGCTTTTGCGAAGACTTTATAAGTTATGCATAGAATTTCATTTTTACTAATTAAGTCGAGTTACTGAAACTGTATAAGTTTGACTATTACGCATATTAAAGCACGTAAGTTCAGATACAAGGGGTGGCATAATATCTAATATATAATTTAATCAAAAAGGTTAATCAAATTGTAAATTTTCAATGTATGTCATCATCAAGTATAAACTCCTCATCTATCTATGGGTTGAATTCAGTGCATCTTAGCTGTCAACAGTACTTGACTAAAATATATACAAGGACGGAAATTAATAATCTTTTATCATAGCGCGCTTTTTAATCATATTCTGATCAAGTAGATGGAGGCGAGTCTCTATACATATGACTTCTAACTATTTATGACAATGAATATCGTTTAGAATATGTGTGGACAAATAGTTTAACAATTATCAGGTGAACTTTCTCACATCATTACTGTTCTTTTCTTAAATTTTATAACTTTATCATCAATTAAATTTTACTTCAAACACTGTGAGTTCATGATTTATTGAAAAATGGAAGAAAATTGTGTATTTTTTTCTTGTAATCATGTATTCCACTTCCAAGTTTGATAAATATGATTTTCTCGAAAATTGAATGTTTTCTGGTAATTTTATTTGGATATCAAAGTGTTATCCGAAGTATAGCTTGTAGGAAGCGCAGAAGAGGTTGAGCTAGCTGTAATACCAGGTTTAGTTCACCATTTTCTACATACGGCACTGCCTGTACCAATTCAGGAATATGACAGTTGTTTTCCATTCGTTTAATGTGATTGCCATTTGATGCGGACCTTTCCGTTTTTAATTTTCCTTTGAATTCGGTATTTTTGTAATTTTACTTTTTAATGCTAAAAATGTGTGCACGATCAATGCTTAATTCAAGCCTAATCATTGTTTTCATATGCATTATTGTAACGTTTTCATGGAGGAGCACGTGCAGTCATACATATTTGCCTATATTGGTCGTTTTACTGAAAGGTGCATACAAAATGACTTCCTTGTTATTGAAATAAATATAGCGGTCAATTAAATATATGCTGACGTCTACAGTAACAGCATAAAAAACAAGTTACTGCCCATATCATAATGCTGAATACATATAGTCATAGCAATACCTAGAAAAAATTGGAAAAGAGACATATTTCCTTGTTTTTTCCTTGAAAAAATAAATTATTAACTAGAGGGTGTTTCCCGAGCTTGAAAGACCATTGATTGTCTGTTGATCAATATTTTGTGTATGACGTTGTTAATGTTAACTTTGTCAACGGCACGTGCGCCCTTTGTTTCTAGCGATAATTTTCTATTGCAAGCGAGTAGCACGATAAAAAAAATTCACTAAGTTCTATTTACAAGAAAGATCAAATGAAAAAGAAAAATACAGTGAATTAATTCAATGTATTTTATATATAAATGAAAACTTCTAAGAAAAACGTGACTTATTTGTATGACAATGCAACAGAACGTTTGCAAAATCTACTCTTTATTTCTTAAAAGTAATAATACTAGAACTGTTAATATCCATTCATCATACGGTTGTGTTATATTAAATCAGTACTAGTAAATTTTATCCTAGTTTACAACAATCTCACGGAATTATTTTTGTTGAATTGTTGAAATTTCTCCAAGCCTAATGAATCTTCACATTTATTTATCACCAGAAACTGGTTCGACAAAACTTATTCAATTCCTGATTATTTAAAGGTATAACTTAACATTTATAAATTATGAACCGGATGAAGGATTGGTCAAATGGATAATGATGTTCAAACACATTTTGATTTACCTTACAGGAACTCCTATGGCATCGGCGATTCAATTACCCTGCTGTGGTCCATGTGGGTATGATGACGCAACTAAGGAAGCGAGAAGATGCTGTACTAATTGTGATGAAGGATTGTGTGAAGACTGTGAAAAGGCTCACATAAAAAACAAAATATCGAGAAACCATAAGATTATCTCGATTGAAGATTACCGCAAGATTGAAAATGTTTCTATCTCTGAGGTTTGTGAGAATCACGGAGAAAATCTTGAGTGGTTCTGTAAAACTCACGACAAATCCCTCTGCATGGTTTGTGTCACATCAAATCACAAGCCATGTTCCGATGTTATATCAATAAATATTGTCTCAAGAAATGCCAGTCAATGAGCAGCATTGTCTGACCTTGTAGGGTCAATCGATGGAACACTTAGCAGCCTTAAACAGTGCATAAAAAACCGTGATTCCGCTACAAAGGAAATTGAAAAACAAGAGTTAGAAATAAAAAGGATGATAATTCAAATGCGGGAAAAAAGTAAACTCCCACTTAGACAAGATAGAAGAAAAATTACTCCTGGAACTAGGATCAATTTCTCTTATTTGTAAATCAGAATATGCAAAAATCCTTCGGAAGTTAAAATCAGCAGAGGAAAAGCTTACCAAACTTAGGGAACAAACATTGTACATCAAACAATTTTCTTCAGACATACAGGTGTTTCTTGGGACGTATCAGGGTAATAAGTCGCTCATTTGCGAGACCAAATCCATCAAGGATGCCATGGATGAGTCAAAAGATTATGGATTAATCATAAATCTCAATAGTATAATCACAAAACTGTCAAAAGAAGTTGAAGATTTTGGCCAAATCAAGATCACAGAAAATTCTTCTCAGTTATATTTCAGAGACCCCAAAATCGAAGCTCAGATAGGTATCCCAGTCCCTACATCAAGAAATGTATCCAACACACAGCTTCGGTTAATCAAAACATTTAGAATATCAATGAAAAACAGAATGTCAAAAATGCATGTGACATGTATAACAGGCTGCATCATCTTGCCTAACGGTAATTTATTAATGGCTGATAACGCATGTAAATCTTTAATCGAGTTCAGCGATACAGGTGAACACAGTCGAGACATTCAGGTCTCTGGTTCGCCGTGTTGCATTGCAGCGGTGGATTTTAATCGTATTGTCGTGACTTACGCTAAAAGAAAATTCTTAGAAATAATGAATAACACTACTTTCAAGGTCGAACAGAAAATCAGTTTTCATAAAAGTGCTAGAGGAATATCTCAAGAGAATGGAATACTGTATGTTGTAAGTGGATGCACTACAATACATGTCCTGGATCTATCAGGAAGACAATTGGAAACATTGGAAATATCATCTAATAACGCAACTTATCTCACTACTAGCAGAGACAGGATATTCTACTACACTGACAAAGTGCATTGTTGCCTTATGAATGGAGAAGAGTTATGGCAGTTTGAAAGTAACAACATTACATGTCCTCGCGATGCAGCAGCAGACAGTAACCATAACGTGTATGTCGTAGGTTTTCATTCTAATAATCTAACAATAATACAACATGATGGAATAGACAGTAAAATATTACTAACAGAATCAGATGGACTTGAAAGTCCACGTGCTGTGTACTATGACAACGAGAAAAGAACACTACTCATATGCAATCAAGAGGGAACCTTTTTTTTGTATAAAGTCGTTTAAAAGTTTTCTGATCATTAAATGGAGTTCCTGTGTTCAAGAAAATTTCCTACGAAAGACAATGTCTACATATATTGGCACAATATTACATCATCTTTAACAAACAAAGATCTATTTAGTTTTTAATTTAACTACTTGTATTTGATGACGAGGGCAGTGGCCAAAAATAGTGTCTGAGATTTGAATAACCAAACAATATTTTAGCTTATAACATATTTTAGGATTAATTGAAAAACAATGCAATTTAAAGCGTCGCAAATGGTTTCAAACAACGAAGTCAATGCTAAATTATTTTGAATATTCATGGAAAAACGATCACAACTTTTTTATAAATCTATTTGCAGTTATGTTTGGCGCCAAAATTAGGGGCTAATGTTGAACGGTGCCTCCGTTATGGAAAATTATTAATATTTCACTTTCCGTTGTCCATTGTTCAGCGTGGTACTCGATTATGTTATAATGTTTTATTATTTAGTATTACAATCTAGAAAGATTTTTTTTTCTTCCATTTACTGTCATTTAAAAGAATATTTATCATTTTTATACATGTTATACTTTTCGTTACTGTTAAAGAACATGGTGGACTTTTTTTAGCCTCCTGCTTACCGGGCATTTGGTTTAATTGTTAACGTGGATCCTATGTCTGCACCCTGGGCAACCGAGGATTTTTTTTTTGAATAAACAAGTATCTATTTAAAAATAAAAAAAGTAAAATATTTCACTTTTTCTTGAATCACACGTTGATATAAAAACTAACAAACCTATACATGTTTAATCAAGTAAGACTTTTTTTTTATACAAAGCCTATAAGACGCAGCAACAGTCTATCGAAGTAAAAGTTTAAGAAATGAAAGAAAAAGAGTCAAATTAAAAATATTAAAATGTTATTGTCGGCTAGTTTGTTTTTTGTGTTTAATGATACTTTCAGTGAAACTTGGTAATAAATGTAACACAGTAATACATATAGGGTCTTTGCATCGGAATTAAACATATTTATTCTAAAACCAGTTGTTGGCATGACACGGGTTATGTTCTTCTCATATATTTTATGATGGTATAATACTTAACCCCTAACAGAAGGGATTGTGCCTGATATTCATATGATGAAGACATAATCTTTCAATCAGTTAAATTGAGGTCTGGAACTGGCATGTCAGTAACTGCTAGTAGTCTGTTGTTATTTATGTATTATTGTCATTTTGTTTATTTTCTTTTGTTTCCTATTCTGACATCGGACTCGGACTTCTCTTGAACTGAGTTTTACTGTGCGTACTGTTGTGCGTTTGTTTTTTCTACATTGGCTAGAGGTATAATTGGAGGGTTGAGATCTCAAAAAACATGTTTTACCCCGCCGCATTTTTGCTCCTGTCCCAAGTCAGGAGCCTCTGGCCTTTGTTAGTCTTGTATCATTTTTAATTTTAGTTTCTTGTGTATAATTTGGAGTTGAGTATGACGCCCATTATCACTGAACTTGTATACATATTTGTTTAGGGGCCAGCTGAAGGACGCCTCCGGGTGCGGGAGTTTCTCGCTGCATTGAAGACCCATTGGTGGCCTCCGGCTGTTGTCTGCTCTATGGTCGGGTTGTTGTCTCTTTGACACATTCCCCATTTCCATTCTCAATTTTAATCTTTACCTATTGTTTTTATTGGTACTAACTTTGATTTTATTATGAAAATTTAAAACATAACTAAAGATATAGTGCTAAATATACCTTTCAAAAAAAGAAACGCATAACTGGGATGAATTTTCAAGTTAAAATGAAACGGTCAATTGTATCTTCAAATTTTTACAAGTAAGTTTTAAACTTTAAATGCCAGTTCATTTGATTAGGCTATATGCCACATGACAACTGCGACTCGCTAAAAGTGCATTTAACATTTCGTAGGGAAATTTTGTTAACGTTTTTCACGAGAATTTTGTGGTCAACTCAACTTTTACACTTTTGCGCATATAAGGACTAAGTTTTGAAAATTGATCGTATAGCGTGTTATTTTAGCGAGTGTAAAATTTCGCGATTTCCGGCAACAAAGTATACGAAAAATTTTGGCGGTTTTTATTTTGGCGGATTCTTTAATCCCAATCAAATATTTTAGCGGATACTGAAATGGTTGCAGTTACAAAGTTGTAAAAATTGACAAACAAGGGCATTTTATTATGGTTAAATGATTGTTTTACCTGCATGACGTCTTATTAATTTATTATATTTTGATACAGTTAATCAATAGAATACCGGTACATAGTTATTTTTCACAGGTGTACAAACTTCTTGTAAATGTTATGGTTGATAAGTTACTAAATTGAACGGACCTTTGATGTACTAATTAGATTATAAAACTATCATGAGTGACTTGCAACTCTTATATGATTTGACACTAATTGATAAGGATAAAATACCTGACAGCGTACCTTACATTCTTATATTATTATTAAGTTTATTATGTAACCAATAAACCAATTAACACATAAGAGTCAGTGACCAATGGCCTTTGGCATTTATGTTGTTTAAATTAACATAAACCGTTATTGATCCGTCGAACGGGAAAAAAAGATAGTTTACAAAACGCTTTAGCTATTAAAAAGTATCGAACGTATGCATAAATTTTCGCGGAATTTATTTTCACGATTTCCCCTGACCCGCCACAATAAGCGAAAATAAACACCCCGCGAAAATAACCCTCTATATGTTAATTCATCACAATGTTAAAACGCTGCCATGACAAGGTTGGACTCTGCTATTCGACATATCGTCATCGATTGTCTTCCGGCCGGAGTGCCCACAGTGAAGTAGCAAGAACTGAAAATGTTAACCAGAGCACAATTTCGCGCTGCACTAATGACCGCTCGAGGAGTGGACGCCCTCGCCTAAAGACTCCTGGATAATATCGCTACATCCGGGTATTTCATCTACGGAATCGAACCGTTGCCGCAACAGCTACTGCAGTCGGATACCAGAATTGAGACGAATCAGCTCACAAACTGTCCGCAATCGACTGCGACAATATGGCATTAGACCCAGGAGGCCTTATTTTGGACCTGTTTTGAGGCCGTTACACAGACGGAATCGAGTCCGATGGTGCAACAGATTGAGAGGCTGGTCATTCCGCAACTGGCGCAGAATCTGGCTCAATGATGAGTCCCCTTTTATCCTTCAGAAACATATGGAAGAACTCGTTTTTACTGGCGCATGAATGAACGTTGTGCTTCCTCGTGTGTCCAAGAAGTGGACAGCTTCGGTGGAGGAATGTCATAATGTGGGTGGCTATCTCTATTAACCTTAAAACGGAATTTGTACATGTTCCGGGTAATTTAACGGCACAGAGTTACAAAGACTAAATTCTTCAACCTCACCTTATGCATGTAATTGACCGACAGAGAGAGTTATTCCAGCAGGACAATGTTAGGCCTTACACAGCGCGTTTAAAAATGGACTACCTTGAGCAAAATAACATCAATGTGCTACCTTGGCCTTCCAAATCTCCGGACATGAATTCTATTGAGCATCTTAGGGACCGTGTACCGATCTAAACGTGTGCGCCAGCATCCATTCCCGCCTCAGACCCTTGATCAGTTCCGACAAATATTGCCAAATGAATGGCGAGCAATTCCACGCAACAACATAAGAACATTGATAGCATCCATGCCAAGGAGATGCGTAGCAGTCTTAGCAGAGAGAGGTGGTCATACACGGTACTAATTTTAATGGTACCGGAAGTACCTTTAATTGTGATGAATTGTCTTTTATTCATCAATATCGAAAAAACTTACTGCTGTCTTCTTCTTAATCAAACACGTTTTGAGTGAATATCCTTATTAGTAATTGTAACATTTCCATTCAGAGTACATGCGTTTCTTTTTTAGCAGAGTATATATACCGTTATGACAACTCATTAACCTACATTCTGTCGATACTGTTAACCTATATTTTGGCATTGCACAAGGTTATTCGTTTCTTAGACTGTTTATGACGTCTTTACATTTAATTCTTTGGATGTGTTCTGATTGATACTTTAGTCAATTCTTTGGATGTGTACTGATTGATACTTTAGTCAATTCTTTGGATGTGTACTAATTGATACATTAGTCTGGGAGATCATGATTTATTCATTAGTTGAAAAGGCTTTAAACTAGTTTTCAGTAAATTCGAGAACGCGATGATTCATGAGTATTATTTTTTTTATGTTATTTGTTTTGTGTCTTGTACCATTCTTTTGAGTTAAGTCATGCAGTTGCTAGTAATTTTCATAGTTTGTTCTGATGTTCCGCTGTTTCACCACTGTCCTCGGATAGGGGAGGGTTGCACTCTCACAAACATGTTTAACCCCGTCAAATTCTTTATGTGCCTGCTTCAAGTCAGGCGCCTGTATTTCAGTGGTTGTCGTTGGTTTATTTTTTTTCGTAAATTGTTTTGTTATTAATTAGTTTTCTAATTTGAATGGTTTCACATTTTTTCATGTTGGGGTCATTTATAGCCGACTATACGGTATGGGGTTTTCTCATTGTCGAAGGCCGAACGATGGCTATAATTGCTTACATCCAATTCAGTTGAACTCTGGTGGATAATTGTGCCATTGGTAATAATACCACATCTCTTTTTTATATTGGATATATCATGGTGAATAACTGCTGGTGGAAGGCGGATACACGAATAAAATCACTGACCTGAGGTAGGAAGCTTGAAATCCTTGTTTACCAAGAACGCCATTGAACTCACAACATCCGAGTTAACAGGCATGTGATTGATGTTGCTTTGGTCGCCAAGACCCTTAAGTCAGCTAGTAAGTGTCGAATGTGAGCATGCTGTCATTTTAATCGAAATGATCGGTGTCGTTTTTAACTGACAGAACATTATTTATGCAGAATTTAATTGTCTAGGACAGTTAATCTAAATGACGAAATTGGTGTTATTTTATGCGATGTAAGATGTTCCCACAAAAAATAGTTAAGCTTATATTTATTAATTTACACCTTAATTTACAATATGATTTATTTCAAATTGATAAATTTTACATTAGATAATACTGACTTGGGTGAAGAAATTAAATAACTCATTTTTTGGGGTTTTTTTTTTGCGACCGGCTGTAAAATGCATTCCCAAGCGAGCCATCCGTTTGTATAAGCGGGATGAAAAAATTCACAGCAACGTCGGGTCAGAATGGGAATGGTAAATCCAATGCTTATGTGTCACAATCTGAACACATTACAGAACACTTCTGACAACCATTTGAATAGTTCGTAGGTAGGTAAATGCAAGAGTCTGTCAAGATAAAACTTCTGTCCCTATTCAGCATATCATTTTTTTTTAGCAGCAGTCCAGTTTTTCATCCTTCATCCCGGTTGACTTCTTTGACAGGAACCAGCTTTTGTATTTATTGTTAATTTATTCTCGTCCTCAACATGCATTATTTATTTGCCACTAATAGATAGAAAAAGTTTACAGAAAACCTACAGTATCAATTAAACAAATACAATAAATTTGGCAGTAAACGAATGCAATGGTCTTATGTACAATGAAGTATGAAATATTGATATATATACATGTATTATAAACTGTATAACGAAATATAAAGAAATTAAGTATGACAATAATATTTACAAGGGGGACTAACATTTTTATTAATACACTTAATAAATTATAAAAAAAAAATCTTCAAGGTGATTGATTGTCATTACCAAATATTTAATTGACATAACACTTGATATACTTAAATATAGACTTAAAGTCAAGCAAGAACAATCAATCAATTAATCTGGAGGCGGGCTTCAGCTGGCCTCTAAACAATAATGTATACTAGTTCTATATTAATTACAAATTATAAAAATGCCATTTTTCTTTATGTGTATATTTTTCCAAAAATAGAAATTCTATAACTAGCAATTTACACCTACAAAAAAACAAATGTAGCAGTATGGTATCAAAAAGCATGGGGCGTACTCCTAATATCTCAATTGCTTGTC